CGGGCCCAGGTCAGGGAGTAGCCTGCAACCTAGGTACATGCCCTTGGGCATAATTGAACCCAGAATCTGTGTTGGGCAGGCCGAGGTATTACCCACTGAGCCAAACCGGCTAGGGCAGGATATGATATTTCTTAACCCTCCAGCAGCAGACCTTCCTTTTTTTCTCCAGGAGTGCGGTAAAAAAAACCTAGATCACCTATTTGGACTCTTATTACCCAAGTTACTAAGAATATTACCAGTGGCATATAGGGAGCTTAACCAATCAACAGTCAGAAAAGATGTTTCCTCTGTAGTTCACACCAATTACCGGTTTGGCCCCTGCCCAGGCCTAACTCCTCTGGCGAGTCATTAGCCCTGGGCTGGTGCACCCCCAGCTCCCTGCTGCCGCCACCATCAACAACCGACCCAGGCCTAAAGCCTCTGGCTGAGGTGTTATATAACTCTGAGTTATATAATTAAAGTTCATTGAGCTTCTTAGTTGTTGGCTTGAGGATTACCATTCTCATTTTATCTGGACTTCCTCAGACATAATTTATATTGTTGGCTCTACTTGCCATGGTTCATGCTTTCCTATTCTTTGCATGTCTCATAGTTTTTTGTTTAAAAACATTTATTTATTATTTATAAAATTTTGTTTTTCAATTACAATTTACATTCAATATTATTGTATACTAGAGGCCCGGTGCATAAAATTTGTGCACAGGTAGGGTCCCTAGGCCTGCTAGCAATCAGGGCCAATCAGGTTCTCCTCCTCCTCCTTCCCTTGCCAACTGTGCACAGCCACTGCGCAGTTCTCCTTGCCTCCCTGCCTCCCTGCCTCCCTGCCTCCTCCTTCCCTCGCTCCCTCAGCACCCCACTGCTGCCGCTGGTTGCTCACCATGTTCTGTGCCACCCCCTGGTGGTCGGCACATGTCATAGCGAGCGAGCGAACTCCTGGTCAAACTCCCAAGGGGACACTTTGCATATTAGCCTTTTATATATATACTGGAGGCCCGTTGCACAAAAATTTGTGCTTTGCGGGTGTGTGTAGAGGGGGGGTTATAGATATATAGTGGTTAGATCAGCAGTTCTCAACCTGTGGGTCGCGAGCCCTTTGGGAGTCGAACGACTCTTTCACAGGGGTCGCCTAAGACTATCGGAAAGCACATATATAATTACATATTGTTTTTGTGATTAATCACTATGCTTTAATTATGTTCAATTTGTAACAATGAAATTGGGGGCCACCACAACATGAGGAACTGTATTAAAGGGTCGCGGCATTAGGAAGGTTGAGAACCACTGTGTTAGATACTCATATATTTTTACAAAGTGTCTCCCCTAATATTTTTAGTACGCCCCTGGTGCCATACATAGTTATTATAATATTATTGACTATATTCCCTATGCTGTACTTTACATCTCCATGACTATTTTGTAACTACCAAACAAAACACGGAATTTAAAATATTATAAGAACTTTTGAAGTCAGACCCTCCTTTCTCCAGGAGGGTTGTCGCTATTGATTGTTGTTTCTGATTGTTCGTTGTGACTTTCTGGAATTAATTCTGTAAAATCTGTATTTATTGTATGTGGCCAATCAAGCAAATCTCTGTTCATTTGGCTTAGTGGTTAGTTAAATTGTCTTTTATCATTGTTATTGTTTTTTTAAATAAACTCTCCTTGGATTGTTGCAAACCTTTAGTTAATTTTGAGTTCTGACAATGTTGGTTTTGGCAAGTGTTTCTAATGTTTGCATTGCTTTTATAAAGGAGTGGATTTTCTGAGTTTTACTTCACCATTTCAGAAATGCTTTCTTTTGCATCATTCCCTATTCACCTTTTTCAAAGCTAATGGAAAAATGTACTCTCCTGAGACTGCCTAGCTCTACCTGCCTCACATACATTTTTTCAGCAATGTTGTTAGGGTCTTTAATGATTGCCTTCTTATGAAAGGACAATTTTATTTTTAATTCATTTTTGAATGACATTATTCAAGTGCAACTTCTGTATATCATTAGAAACAACATTAAACTTAAATGCTATTCCTACCATCTGGTTTACTCACTAATGTAAACATGCCTTCCTCAACTCTCTTGGGTCATCTTACAGAGATCATAATAAAATGTAAATGCAGTGACTATTTACTACTTCTCAGTAATTTTATTAAGTACTTTACTTGCATCATCTCATTTGATATTCACAATAACTTTATGTGGTTGGTACTTTTTTAGTTCCATTTTACAGAAGAGGAAACTCAAATTGGAAAGGTCAAGCAACATGTCCAAGGTCGCCCAGCCAGTAAGTAGCAAAGCTGGTATTCAAAATCAGGAAGTGTCAGTGCAGAAATGTGTGCAGTGATTGCATTCTGCTGATCTCTACCTCACAGAGATATGAGGAGATAAGAAAGTCTGGAATGTGGAAGCAGACTCAGTTACTCTCAAAGGACTCTCCTGGTGAAGACATGGTTTGGCATGTACAAGTATCTTCTTCACCTTTGCAGATCTTCCCTTTAGTATTGCTATGAGAAATCTTTGGAGCTGCTTTGTTAATTAATCTGACTATCACAGAGGGAAATCATAGCCTCAAATGTAATAATTATTTTAATATAACCAATTTAATGTAATTAAATTATTTTTGAGATTTACATGTAAAGATAGAAGTATGAAGGTTTTGTAGTCTTAGAGTATTTCTGTTGGGCAGAAAATTATAATGATCTTTAGATGAAGAGAATTAAAATGCCAGTATATACTTTTTACATAATAGATGATATGCTAAATGAATGAATGAGAAATGTTTTCTGGGAATTTAAAGGGAATATTTTTAAAAATTGCTTAAAAGTTAAGGTAAGTATATTTTTACTTGATTTTCTGATGTAATGGTTATTAAAAGGTACTTTTCACTCTATGAGTTGTATAAAAATATTTATGTACCTGTGATATCTTTTTATCCACTTAAATGAAATAAAGTTAATTTATATAGCTTGGAAAAGCCATAAATTGAAACCTATTTACCAAGCTCAAGAGAGTAAAAAAAAAATACCTATGCAAATTGCATTTCTGATTATATAATATACATTCATTGCTATTATTTAAACATACAAACAAACATATTTTCTTCATTAGTGAGTGCATTGATGTCATGTAGCATTTAATATTTTAAAGAGTGGCATTCCAAATTGATTTTTTCTCCTATTAATTATCTTATTTTTCCTTTCACTTGAATGAAAAAATAGCATTTATTTTAAAAGGATTTCAAGAGCACTTTCAGTTTACCATGGAGAGAGATATTAATAAAATATTCTTTAAGGAATTTATTGGGGTTTAGTTTAAAAAGCTCTTAAATAACTAATGGAAAAGGACCATGGAGTGAAAGAAATGTTCTGAAATATTTCTTCAGATTGAAGTTGCTGGACATTCCAGCTGTGGTGGTTGGTTTGTTGTTGGCAACCATATTCTTCATCCTGGCCAACATGTGAAGCAGAGGAAAGCAAACCTTGTAGTCTGGCTGTGTGCTAGCACATCTGTTTTGGAAGTCTGGTGGGTGTGCATTCTTGCAGGCAACACACTCCAGCTCTTAAGCTTATGCTCAAGTTGCTTAGTTTGCTCTCTTAGCCATGTGTCCCCAGTCAATTGGCCTGGCAATGACTAGAAAGGCTTGTGGAAACTGCTGTTGACCTTAGAGCATAGGATAGTTTACAACGTTCCACCATAAAAGGACAATAATAGAAATCTGGCTACGCAGAAGCAACCTTGCACAGCTGCCTCCCATCAGAGTTGCAGTCAGCTCATCTTGCTGGAAGATTAGCTGCTATAGACAGGCAGGTTATTGGATCAACATTTTCTGGCTTGCCCCCCCTGCCAGGTGCTTCAGGGTTTGCCTCATTTAGCCAGATTTAGCCAGAGATTTTTCCCTTGGTTGTTCCACCAGCCTTTGAACCCTGGGGACATGGATTTTGGAACAATAAAGCTTACTCCCTCAGCATTATGTCAATTGCAGGTGTTTTTCTACTATGCATTTCATGCCATAATAATTGGTATTCAGAGACATGAGTCCATAAAGGGAGGAAGTTATAGTGTAATAGCTAGGAGTATTAGCTATGGAGTTAGGCCAAACTGGATTTGAATCCTGGTTTCCACAGTTATAAGCCCTGTGACTAGTTGTCTCATCTATAAAGTGGGGTAATATTAGCTTCCTCACAGGTTGTAAAAGGTTTAAGTTAGTTAATACATATAAAGGTTTTAATAGTGTCTGGCAAATAAAAATCCAATTTATTTTGGAAAGTTTTAGTATGTTCTAATGATTTAACTAATGACATTAACTGTTTGGGATACACATCACTGTTTATTTCAAACCATTGATTAATTACAATATGTCATCCCAGATTACATTAATTATATGTAAATCCCAGTTCCTGAAATCTTGCTTATGGTAGCCTTTATTTCATCAAGAACTGTCTTAGTCTGTTTGGACTGCTATAACCAAATATCACAGACTGAGGAGCTTAGGAACAATAAAAATGCACCTCTTACTGTTCTGGAGGCTGGAAGTCTGAAGTCTGGTGACAGCCTAGTTGAATGAGGGTCCCTCTTGTGAGCTGCATACTTCTCATTGTATTAGCACCTGGTGGAAGGGGCTAGAGAGCTCTGTGAGGTCTCTCATAAGAGCACTAATGCCATTTTTGAGGGATCCACCCACATGACCTCCCAAAGGCCCCATCTCTTAACACCATCACATTGGGCATTAAGATTCCAACATATGCATTTGGTGAGGGCACAAACATTCAGATCATAGCAATAACCATTTAGTACATTTGTAATATATTTACAATTAGGTGTTAGGAGACATACAAAAGAAGCAGAAGACTGTTGGTATTCTAGAAGAAATTATAATCTCATTTTAGTTTTGCAATAAAAGCTAGTTAGCTTACTTCTAGCATTCTTTTTGTCTCAGAATTAAAACAGTACTATGACATTACACTGGGCTTCCTGTTTTACATGGGGGTTTTAATCACATAGTATAGAGCTTCCACCGAAGATTTACCAGTAGAGTTACATACATAACTACCTACATACATACCTAATAATATGGGCCATCACTATGGCTTATTCTGTAGTGAAGAGCACTAAAGTTACTTGTGGGATATTCAAAATGTTTTCTGTTTCTAGTAAGATATTCTGGCTAGTTATAATTTCTTAATTTCCCTTCATATTGTATTTCTAAAGTCACTGCAGTGTTTACTTTGCTGGGTAGGTTGAATAATGAAATATAACCAGACACTAATTTCTTAAAAAATTGGCTAGCACATGATATGAGAAACAGACAAAATCTTCAGATATGTCTTTTGTTTGGAGAAATTACTAAATTTTTACAATTTCTGACTTTCAGTTTTTTCTTTCTGTTATGGCTACAGTTGGAAGGTGCTATGGTCTAAATGTTGATGCCTCCCATTCATATTTTGAAATTCTAATGCGCACTGTGATGGCATTAGGGGATGGGGCCTCTGGGGGAGTGATTACTAATAGGTTGTGAGGGTCAAGCCCTCATGAATTGGAATAGTGTTCTCATAAAAGAGATCCCACAGAACCCCTTGCCCACTCACCCTTTGGGGACACAGAGAGAAGTCTGCAACCTGGGAGAAGGCTTTCACCAGAACCTGACCATGCTGGCATTCTGATCTTGGACTTCCAGCCTCCAGAACTGAGAAATAAGTTTCTGTTGTTCATAAGCCAGCCAGCCTGTGGTATTTTATTATAGCAGCTCGAATAGACTGAGAAACAGCCGAGGTTTTCAGTAGTGAGTGAATCGGGGTGAGATTTCCAGAACAATGATGACCAGCTTTTCTAAACTAATGGGATATTTGAAGCAATAATAAAGAAACTTCAGATTTTTAGAGAGTTTGCTAATCGACACTGAGATTTCCTAAACTGGCTTGAGTTTGGCCATGTAGAGATTTCCATGTCCACGTATTCCTCCATGTTTTGTGCTACGTAGATTTGTGTTGGAAGGGGCAAGCTCTGCAGTTCTCTATATGATTCTAAATTCAAACTATAAGTTGAACAAATTATTGAATTGTCTATACTAGTAAATATGTACACAGCAATATCTGCAACACAAGCCAAGAATCCTTTTCTTGAAATGCCTGGAAAATAACAATAGTAATTATCTGTATTTATATGGTGTTTCCAAATATTCTCCACCTACCTTACTTATTTTTAAATTAGATTCATTTGATAATGAAAAAAAACACAGATGAGAAATTGAAATACAGAGAAATTAAGTGACTTGTGTTAGGTCATACAACACATCAATAGACGACTCAAACTTAATTATTTTGGCTGCTGGTTCAGCTCTCCTTTCATTATGTAACCCAGCCCAATAAAATCTAATTGCCTTGTCACTTTCTGTGAGTAACACTCCATTTACAATATTACTGATAAACACATGCATTTGTAGTCGACTTTTAAAACTTGAACTATTTCTCAAGTAGTTCAATTTTTTTTTAAAAAATTCACAATGGAGTCAGCTTGCCTGCCATGTGGAATGTAATGGTGACAAATCCCATTTCATATTGCTAGGTTTTTTATAGTTCACTTGAACTTCTTTGGCTATAGATCTTTGAGAAATAGGAATTTGAACAGTACACTGGCAAAACACAAAACATCTGTTAGATTTTCTTGTCTCTAAATAAGTGATGCTTAGCAAGAATTTTAACATAAGAAATAGCATGCCAATAACAAGTTATGGAAGTTAGAGAAGTATAATTATATGAGTTAGCTTCTGAGGGATGGTTGTTTTTGTATATTTAAACTTTTAGATGACTCTTGCATAAAGTATAACCCAATTTGATCTAACTTGACTATGGCTTTTAATACCATGTACAAAAACCAAGTTTAGGCTAGAAATGAATGATTGTAACTTACAAATGGTATAATAGGGAAACACACAAAGCCAACATACTGAAGTGTTTTCTATTATTTATATCAAACAGTTATAGAAATTATATAGATGTAGGATATAATGACTAAATTATATACCTTCTACAATAGTCTTATTTAGTAACCTTTATCCTCCACTATGAATAGATCATTTTCCAGAGGTGGGATGGGAATAGAAAAAAGAACCAAAAAGTTCTGACAGCTGTGAATTAGACAAGTACTGGGTATAGCTGCTATTCTCCTTGTTTTGAGGAAACATCCATTATTTTTTCTTTGTACTGATAGAGAACGTTTTTGCATTCCTTACTTTCTCTAAGTCATCTTTCATCATTCCTAATAAGGTGGCTTGTATTTTAATGTCAGATATTCCCCCTCCCCCCAATTCCTTTTTATGAATAGCTGCATGGTAAACTGGTAGGTGCTCAGAGACCATTGGGATATGGTAAAAAGGTATCATTTCCTATAAAATATACAAGGAACACTTAATCATAATGCTTGAATACTGTTTGACATATGTAGTTGTGAAAGAACATTTGCAAACATGCAAGAGGAAAACAAAAATATCTTCCCATCCTTTGCATCCCTTTTGGAAATATATGACTTTGCATATTCTTGCACTTAGCAATTTTAAATAGTTATAGTAAAATAACTCTTGAGATAAGTAAAGAGTGGATGTTTAAATTATCAGGCCTCTCTTACAGAAAGTTGGAAGGAGAACTGTTGACCAATTTGAGAGCATGTTTTCTTCTTTTTTTCAATCATGAATTTACACTGTCTATAAATAAATGGATCATGCAAATTCAGAAGGCTTATGTGTATGTTTTTAGCTAAATATTTATAACATGGAGTGAATGGTAGAGTTAACAAATATCTAGCAAATTTGGGCTTTGCAGACACCCAAAGTCAGTGTCGGCCAAGTTAAAAAACAAAAACAGCCATTTAAATAAGCCAAGAGCACACACTTGATTTAGCCTTAACTAACTTAAAATTATAGAATTTTACCTTGTTTTCTTAGTCCTTTTTGCAGAATCCAAATAAGCCTTTTCCTATTTTCATTACAGACAGTGCTTAAAGAAAATAACAACTGCAAGACTTTTAGAAAAGTATTTTACATGTTGAGAAATGGAAGTTTAAATACAAAATAAAAAACACTTCGGGCTCATTGTAATTCTCCAAAAGTGTCATGGATATGTTTTCACCAGTCAGGATGATCATCACCGAAGCCTGGATTTCAGTGAGGTGGGTATCTCAGAGATCAAACCATTGACAGAAACAGTAGTCTCCTTTCCTCGTGTGTCAGGCTTCAAAAATGTAGGAACACTGCATGGAGAATGCTTTCATTGCCCACTGTGTCACATCGGTTACAGGTCAAAGCACTATTTGTGCTATTTGCCTGGACCTGTTGAGGATCTATAAAAAAAAAAAAAGGAAAGTAACCTGAAGAGAGTGGTTATCATCAGCATTAACGAAGATAGACAATTTATCATTCCCTCTCAGAATTATTTAATGTAATTTCTCAGGAGATGGAGGGTTAAGTGACAGAAGAAAGAAGGAGTTCGGAGTAGATGAGATGTAGACGATAGCAAGATTATAGTGAAAGAAAGGCCTGGCTCACCCTTAGGAGCAAGGAGCAGCGCTATCACTGCTCCAAAGATAATTATCATTCTGGGCTTTCTGGGCTTTGACTTTCTCACCTGTAAAATTAGAGATTTGGATCTCTATGTTCCTATCCAGTTTTAAAATCCCAGGGTTCTAGAAAAGAATAAAGAGGAGAAAAGTACATGGATATTATGGTTTTATGCAACTCCTTTTTTCCCCCCCTGAAATAATTTTTTGAAAGTAGCAGTCTCAAGGTTTTCAGGGTCTTATCTACAAATGTGTATGTAAGGAGGTAGGAACATCTATTGAGCATTTGGAAATGGGAGATGTCTCTTTCTCCAGAAAGTTTTCCCTAAACCCTTACCCTCCTGCACACCTTTAAAAATAGATATTCATTCCCACCTCTATTTTCCATCTGCATCTTCTGCTTATTTCTATTATATAACAACTAGAGGCCTGTTGCATGAAGAGATTCGTGCATTAGGCCTTCCTTTCCCCTGGCTGCTGGCACCGGTTTGTCTCTGGCACCCAGGCCCAGGCCTTAGCTCTGGCTGAGTTCTGGCCAGAGCCGCCCCGGAAACATCAGGCTTAGCTGCTCCCCTGGCCCCAGGGCCGTGAGGCCTCCCTGCTCTGCTAGCCCCGGGCGGTCAGGCTTCACTCCACTGCTTGGAGCCTATGTATGCAAATTAGCCGCCATCATTGTTGGTGGTTAATTTGCATATCATGCTGATTTGCCAATGGGAGGTGTAGCGAATGTATGGTCAATTACCATGTTTGTCTATTATTAGATAGGATTATATGTATGTCCTTAAATGCCTGTTATCTCTAGTAGACTGTTAGTTCTTTAAGTATAGAACTGTACTTTAGTGTCATTTATTAAAGGCACATAATAAATTTGTTAGAATAAATATTTGTTGGTTTACATATGCTACCTCACAGAAAAAAACATAATAATCCTGTCTCTAAGAAGATGAACTCAGACTGGAAGCATAAATTCCTTATGCCACACTGCTAATAAATGATAAAGTAAATATTCTACTTGTGGATTTTTCTGATTCCAAACTTGATTTCTATCTGATCAAGTTGCTTTCCACAAAAAATAGTCAAAAGGCCAGCCAGATAAAGTCAGAATTTGGTTCATAGCTCAGTAATCACAGGGGGAAGTTTGGTTAAATTGAACATCGTTGAACAATGTACATAGTTTATTTCCTTTGGTATGGCTGATGAACTTGTGTTCCCTAGGGAAACAAAATTGGTTTGGATACTTTCTTTGAGTTTTTAAAACTTTTGAGTCCTGTTGATTTTTGCATTTAAAAATATCACTTCAGCCACAATTGGGACTGTCAGAGACAATGGGGAAATGCAGAATTCACTTGCTTCTCTTCTCAGTCTGGGCTCCAGGATGGGTTCCACAATCCTCCATTCTCCTTTCCCCTGCGCTTCTTACTTTTCTACCTGTCTTGTTGTGTTTGCCAGGGTTCTTGTCCCAGCATCAAGAAGGGTTCAGGAATCTGGAGAAGGGGCTGTGCGTAGATGACATAGGAATCCAGAGACTAATAAAGAGTCTGGAGACGAAATATAATTTTGAAAAGCATTCGGGGGCAGAGGAGCTTAGCTAAAGGAGCTAAGTTCTAAGGTCTTAAGTCTAAGGTCTTAGGTTCTCCTCATCCCCAGGACCCCATGCTTTTTATTAACACAACTTGTCCTGAGGCAAGGCAGAGATATACACTTCAAAGGGTCAGGGTTTGGTACAGAGTCCATTGCTCGAATGGGGGAATTAGCCTACGGTTGTTCACGTGTTTGGCCAGTAGGAGGCAATAACATGTAGTTAAGATGCCCTTTAACTGTCTGGCAGCCACAATCAATTTAATGTATCCTATTCAGTTTGAGGAAATGCCTTTAGCCATTCCCAGATGCAGGTGACTACATGTGTGACTCAACCCTGTTGAGTCCCCAAGTCTCATCAACCTTTTGATGAAACTCTTGGAATTATGACATGGTGGAATTGGTTCCCAGCAGTGTTCATAGGCTATCAGTGCTCCCAGAAAAGTGAGCAACGTCCCCTCTCCCTGACTCCCATGCAAATCCCTGTTTTGATGGTAGTTGGACCTCATTGCTCCTTTGGACATTACTTTCATTCCTATTAGATTGACTTCCTGTTGCATTCTTCACAACACCTCTTCCAAATCTTTTGCACTTATTTTGAGTCCTTATTCCTCATCTTCCTCCATTTTCTTCTTCTCCAACTTTGTAGATAGAATTGTAATTATTACAGCAAGAATTTGAGCTTTGCCATATTCTACCTTAATATTTCTTTCACTTTCCCATTCTTCTGTGCTTCACTGGCTTGCTCTATTCTTCTTGCCTCTTTAATGGTTGTGTTTCCCAAAGTTGTGTCTTCCACTGTCTTCTTGTAATTTGCTCTTTTATAACTCTGTATTTTCCATGGCTTTATCATCTCTATGGGTATGACTTTCAAGTCTGATCTAACTCTAACCTCTCAACTCTAATTCATCTTTACCTTTAAAATTGCTATTTGGAAATCTCCACTTAGCTGTCTTTTACTCACTCCAAACTCAGCATGTTATTATCCTGATCTTAAATCATCTTTTCCCCACTTACATGTTTCTGATAATAAACGAGAGTTCGTCCTAGATGGTTGCTAGACTTATCTCCTGGAGTGTAATTCTGTTCATGTCATAGCCATTGCTGATTCTTTTTTTTTTATTGTTTAAAGTATCACAAATAGTAGTACATATGTCTCCTTTTTCTTCCATTGACAACCCCTGCCCTCCCCTATCCCCGGCATATGCTCTCACCCCGCCCCCTAGTGTCTGTGTCCATTGGTTATGCATGCATACAAGCCCTTTGGTTGATCTCGTTCCTGCACCCCCAACTCTCCCCTGCCTTACTGCTGTAGTTTAACAGTCTGTTTGATGCTTCTTTGTCTCTGTACCTATTTTTGTTTATCAGTTTATGATGTTCTTTATATTCACAAATGAGTGAGATCATGTGATATTTATCTTTCTCTGACTGGCTTATTTCGCTTAGCATAATGCTCTCCAGTTCCATACATGCTGTTGCAAATGGTAAGAATTCCTTCTTTTCATAGCAGTGTAGTATTCCATTGTGTAGATGTACCACAGTTTTCTACTCCACTTATCTGCTGATGGGCATTTAGGCTGTTTCCAAATCTTAACTATTGTATATTATGCTGCTATGAACATAGGGATGCATATTCCTTTCTGATTGGTATTTCTGTTTTCTTGGCATATATTTCTAGAAGTGGGATTACTGGGTCAAATGGCAGTTCCATTTTTAATTTTTTTGAGGAAATGCCATACTGTTTTCCACAGTGGCTGCACCAGTCTCCATTGCTGATTCTTTATTTACACTTTCTAAAGCCTCAGTTTCCTCATGTTAGTATGTAGTAAATGTTTGGATTGTGGTGATCAAAGTATAAATTCATACATAATAGGCCAAATTTGGTGCCTAGCCTAACAGGCATTCACTGTTAGACTCTTCTTTATTTAAACACCTCTGCTAGCTCTGTACTGTTTACAAAACAGAGCCAGTGCTTCTCAGCCTGACATGCAAACTGTTATCAAATTGTCCCCTTAAAATGCTTCCGTTTTTCTTACGTTTGCTCATTTTTTCCTCTTTATCTGAAAGTTGGCCCTTTATTATCTGAACCTTTCCTCCACAATTTATAAATTCTGCCTCAAAATATAGGCACAGGTAAAGATGACATCGTTCTGTTAGAGTTTTACAAATTCATTTTGAGGGCTAGCCGTACTCTGAACTATTTTTATAATCTTCACAGTGCTAGCAGAGGGGCTTCTCCATAGTATATGCTCAAGAATATTTATTGAAGACATATGTAATACTTTAAACAATAAAAAAGGAAAAAAAATAATATTTGTTAAATAACTTCTAATAGATAATCAGTGTGCTTTGTTCATATTTTCAGATTCTCCAATGCTTCCATGGGAAGAAGTGATTGTGAAATATGATTGAGTTATGGGTCATGACATGGTGAAAATATACTAAAACTACATTTAATTAGATCATGTAATAGTCTGTTAGAAAAGGCTTCTCTGGTTTGTTCACTTTATGTGGCCTTGGGAGAATGGGACCAGGCCTAGACTAAACATTCTCATAATCTTTCATTGACCTTCCTGGAGAGAGACTGCGCAGTCTTTGCCATCTCTAATTATTGTAATTTTGTACTTAGAATGCATGTGTTACATGGAACTCTCCCTTGCCCACCCCACGTCCCCATGCCCTGCTGGCAAGCACTGGAGGGAGTTGGTGAGGTTCCATTTTGCAAAGGCTGCAGTTAAGTTCCAAGCCATTTTGAAGGGGATTCATGGGCCCATCCAATTAAAGTGAAGGGGGATTAAAGCAATTAAAATATTTTACTCATGAACACATTAAAAAAATAATAAAACCCATAATATAACACCATCATTATTGAGGACAAGAAGTGGGAGCTGTAGGGGTATGCATGTGAAGCATGTGAAGAAATGAAGGACTCTCTACCCTGATTATAATTTCTCAACTCTCAACTACCATACATGGGTAGATATAGCCTTATGATTCCTAAAGCCTTTTAAAAATTGGTTAAGTAGAAATGCTGGTATAATGGAAAGAATGTTGGCTTTGGTACCAGAGGAACTAGGTGGAAATTCTGACTCTTGTGTTACTGTGTGACCTTGGACTAGTAACTTAGCATCTCTGGTGCCTTAGTTTTTGGAAGTACTAGTGATTAGAATTCCAGATATGACTTTTTGAGGGGACATAATTTGGCTTGTAAGAAGTACCTTACCAAAAGCAGTTTCCTCATTTTCTATTCATTTCCTAGTGCTTTTTTGAAATTATTTTATCTGTTCACTTTTTTTTTGGCTTTTTCACTTGAATATAAACTTTGTGAAGGCAGGGACTACATATTATTGCTTTTGTAACATCAACCTCTAGGAAAGTGCCTTACACATGGTAAGTATCTAATTTCTTCATTTACTAATCATGCAGCTTTGGGGAAATTATTTAACCCCTCTTACCTCAGTTTACTTAGTAAGGTAGAGATCTTGTGATCATCAACATCCTATTAGATTATAATTTTTCAGTACTTAGAGTAACTGACACATAGAAAATTCTCAATAAATGTTAGCCATTATTCTTTTTTTTTACATTTTAAAAAAATATACTTTATTGATTTTAGAGAGGAAGGGAGGAGAGACAGATAGAAACATCAATGATGAGAGAGAATCATTGATTGGCTGCCTCCTGCATGCTCCCTGCTGGGGATAGAGCCCGCAACCCAGGCATGTGCCCTTGGCCAGAATTGAACCTGGGACCCTTCAGTCCACAGGATGATGCTCTATCCACTGAGCAAAACCAGCTAGAGCTATTAGCCATTATTCGTATTTTTCCACACATTTTTTGAAAAGTGAATGAATTAAGTTCCTTTCAAAACATTTTAAAACTTACATATTTTTAAAATTATTATTTTTTTTAATCCTCACCTGAGGATATTTTTTCTATTAATTTTTTTTTTTAGAGAATGTGGAAGTGAGGGAGGAGGGGAGAGAGAGAGAGAGAGAGAGAGAGAGAGAGAGAGACATCCATTGGTTGCCTCCCACATGTGCCTTCTCTGGAGCCAGGGATTGAACTTGAAATCCTTCCATCGGTGGGATGATGCTCTAACCCAGACCAATATATTTGAATTGGTTTTCATGCAGCAATTTCTTCATGAAGTAGATTTTTTTTTTCATTATAGGATATCCTTCACTGAACACAGGAACAACCATAAAACCCCTTTGGTGCTGGAAGGTTTGTAATTATATCTCCATCTTCAGTGAATTCTCTTCAGTTGCTTTGACTGCATGCATTGGGTCTCTTGGTGGGTGTGTCTTTGTGTACTTGCATTGAATGATAGGTTTTGTGTGTCTGTATCTTTTGATTAAGAGTTAACTGGAGATAGTAAAACAAGCATGGCCATAAGATAAAATGACTCTGGATTCTAGGAGAACTACAGACCAAAAATATAGCTACAGCAGAAGGGGGCATGAGTTCATGAAAGCTGAGTACAGAGATATCCTGACAAGGAGCCAAAGGAACTGGTTTAGGAGCTTGGACTAGCTGAGGGCAAGAGCCCAGAGAGACCCAAATAAGACCTTCCTTTCCATTGCCATCTTGCCCGTGTTAGGGGAAGACAGCTGAAAGCTCAGAGAATGTATGGGCTTCTTAATAAGACTTGGATCAGGTATGTCTCTATTCATACTTGCTGGGATGTATGTGTCCAGACCAAGAGACCTTAAAATAATCTAATTAGTTTGGAGATCCTTCCTACTTATATAGAATTTCATGTCAATCTTCATTCTTCTAGGAAAGTAAATGAACTTATCCACAGATTTTCCTGAAAGTATGCTAGAATGTTTTATTTATACAAGCATTCAAGAAATAATGAATCCTATCTAGTAAAAGACAAAAAAGGGTAATTGACCGTACCTTCGCTACACTTCCCATTGGCTAATCAGGGCGATATGCAAATTAACCGCCAACCATGATGGCAGCCAGCAGCCACGCAGCTGAAGCGAGCAGGAGGCTTGCTTGCTTGCTCCAGTGATGGAGGAAGCCAAGGTTCCCTGCCTGCCGTGGTCTGGCTCTAAGCTCCGAAAGCAACAGTGACCAGCTGCAAACACCCATCAGCCCCTCACCCAGGCTGGTCAGGCACCCAAGCGGGACTCCCACCCTGATCCGGGACACCCTTCAGGGCAAACCAGCCAGCCCCCACCCATGCACCAGGCCTCTATCCTATATAATAAAAGGGTAATATGCAAACTGACCCTAACAGCAGAAAGATTGGGAATGACTGGTCACTATGACACACACTGACCACCAGGGGGCAGATGCTCAATGCAGGATCTGCCCCCTGGTGGCTAGTGCACTCCCACAGAGGGTGCTCTGCTCAACCACAAGCCAGGCTGATGGCTGCCAGTACAGCGGTGGTGGTGGGAGCCTCTCCTGCCTCCTCAGCAGCACTAAGGATGTCTGACAGCAGCTTAGGTCTGCTCCCCGCTGGCAAGTGGACATCCCCCGAGGGCTGCTGGGCCACCAGAGGGATGTCTGATTGCCATCTTAGACCCAATCCCTCGGGGAGCAGGCCTAAGCCAGCAGGTGGTCATTCCCCCGAGCGGTCCCAGACTACGAGAGGGCACAGGCTGGGCTGAGGGACACCCCCGCCCCCAAGTGCACAAATTTTTGTGCACCGGGCCTCTAGTTAATAATAATAGCTAATGTAAAGAGCATATACAATGTGCCAGGCACCATGGTAAGCACTTTAGCTGTATTATCACTGAACACACATATAAGCAATTGGTAATCATTCCAAGTAAGTAGAAATTAAATTGGCCAAGTTCACTCAGTTTATCTGTGATAGAGCAGGATAGGAATCACGTTAGCTTACAAACCTCTGCCCTCGTTTTCCATTCCAACTAGCATTTATTGTTTATGTCCCTTGTGCTGCATGTGCTAAATGCTATATAAAAGTTATGGCTTTAAATCTTGGCAACTTTTTTTTTGATAGTAGACATTATAATTCCTAATTTTTAAATTCCGGGGCTTAGAGAGGTTTGCCTAGGGCAATGGTTCTCAACCTTCTGGCCCTTTAAATACAGTTCCTCATGTAGAGACCCAACCCTAAGATTATTTTCGTTGCTACATCATAACTGTAATGTTGCTACTGTTATGAATCATAGTGTAAATATCTGATATGCAGGATGGTCTTAGGCGACCCCTGTGAAAGGGTCGTTGGACCGCCAAAGGGGTCGCGACCCACAGGTTGAGATCCGCTGGCCTAGGGGTTTCACTTTGAGAGATAGAATCATAAGAAGCAAAAGTTCCAGGCTTTTGAGGGAAAGCAGACATGGCAAGGGTTCTGTCTTATTGTCCCAACCCTACTGTGAACTGATGCATTTTTAAAAAATATTTGTAGTCCAGATGTAGTAAAAATCACCCAGTGCAGTTACCATAAATAGAAGGTGGAGGGGTCTGTAGATTAAGTGGTGGTAAATATCAGACAGTTTTATTCAGTGTGAGGCACAGCGGCTTCCACTCAGGAATGCTTCCAACACCCACGGAGCAGCTGTGCTCGCAGCCAGCCCTCGCACACTGAGCGGCCTCTCGATCGGACGGTGCTGGCACTGGACGCCGGGACAGGAATGACTCTTGGCAACACCTTTTTTGAAAGGAATAGGGTGACAAAAAAAAAGCACATATATAAAACAGGAATTTGGCAAATGGACTGTCCAATTCTTGACATCACTGCAAATTCACTCTTGTTAAGAAGAAAAGTTAAGACATACAGCTTTCCCCTTCATTTCTCCTAGGATAATCTCTGAATTCCCATGTTGAAGAGGAAATGCTAAAATATCAACATCCCCGTGAATCACTCCCTTACCCCAATAAACCCTGAAATTCAACCTCAGAATTCTGTAGTTACAGCCCCACCGCAAGCGTGTTTCTTTGAACACATGACAGTATCCATGCACACTAATGCTGCATGTTCATTCTCTCCAGAGGTTGTAAATAATCCTACACAATGTATGTGGCTATATATATATATAT